GTTAAGTGCCTCAAAATTTAAACAATGTATGTAAATCGATAACTTTGAGTTGGGTATCTAAATAATCAAGTTAAAGCAAAGAAATTGAGATAAAAGTATACTCAGTTACTGGGGAAACATGCATTAATTAGCATTAATGATGTAATATATAAATGTATGAAAAAGGCGTTTGATTTTTTACCAGGTGCGGAAAAAATAAATACAACCGCTATAAACTATATTTATGGCATACTTGTATATTGATCTTTATCAAAATGCTTCATAAATGCTATGATAGTCTATCAACACAAATATAAAGCATAGTTGTTAAAATACAAAACGTTCAAATGGGCGATCAAATTGACTGCTCCTATCACGTGATTTCAGTAAATATACTGATAAACTACAGAAACTGTACGAAACACGTGTCTCTCTCATTTTCTTGTGCGATTCCCTCAGTTTTTGTTTGTTACCTTGAGTTGTTGCAGTTGCAAACATCGGTTAGTTGCTGCTGCCTTAATCTAATAAATAAAATTTCAAAAATGAGAAATTGCACAGAGATACATTAAAACAATATCATAACATACCCTGAAGACACAATATATCCGTGGAACAACAAACATTTCATTTCTTGCAGTGTTCAATTAGACAAGTTCCTTAAAGGCTTTAAATGTTTAAGTAAATAACGGTTTCTTAAGTACATCTAACCATATCGAGTAATCACTGCATATCTTTATCATTATTTTACTATGGTAATTTATAAAAAAAAAATAACAAAAAGACATTCCACCTTTGTAGTTTTTATCGGCTAACCGTAAAACTTTAGTAATTTATTATTTGTTGGGTTTCTGGTTTTGCAATGTTTTGTTCCTGTTAATTTATGTTTCTTATCTGGTTGGTTTTTTGTTTGGTTTTGTCGTCTTTTCTTTGTTCTTGTTTGTTTGTTGATCCTTTTTCGAGTTTGCTATTTTATAAAATATAGAAATAAATAGATTTAGTTAATAACTTGATTTCAACAATAAAAGACCAAAACGAAAAGCAATATTTTAATTAACAAAATCATACTTAAGAATGGAAAGGATACCAAGACTTAGCTCATATGTAAACTCTTGCAATGTATACGCGGCAATAAGCATAGAATTTGATATGATACTCAACATCTTTATTCCGTTATACATACATCCTTTTCACAAGACAATATAAGTGCACGATTGCTATTTTTGGTACTTGTGTTTGATGAGATGTGCCAACAGCAAATGTCAAATTGAGGGGCAGTCTATTCGATATTTATACGTGAATTATAGTTATTGATCGTTTTAAGTATAATTACCTAGCTCAGTTACCAAGAATAACATAAGCTAAGCTGCTAGTGTTGGTGTTTTTCTTGTCTCCGAGTGTATGACTATTTAAGTAGCTTGTATGGGTGGTCTACAAGTCCCGGAGCATATCACATGCTCAGTAGCCATTTGAGGTGGTCTGCAAATTTCTGAATGAATGTCTTGTTGCTAATTAGTCACTTGGGTTATTACTTGCTTAGTAGCAAGTGTTGTTTGTCGACAAGTTCGTTCTTTGCTCATCAGAGTTAAAATGAAGTGGTACTCGGCATTCATAGGCAACCGTGCGGCCTTCAAAAATGGTTCATGTCTGTAAATTTGTTTGTCGTAAGTTGTATTGATAAAAATTAGGCCGTTAGTTTTCATGATTGAATAGTTTCATATTTTCGGGGCCATTTATATCTAATTATACGACGTGGGTATTTCTCAATATTAAATGCCGAGCAGTAACCTATAAATGCCTCCATCTTCGTAATTAATTTGAACTCTGGTTGGTAATTGTTTTTGGCAATTATACCAATCTCCTTATTTTTTACATAGATATATGTCTGGTGTTGATTTGTGAAAGCGACCGTAGTTTTGTATAAGTATTTTGTTTATCTAGACCAAGTTGACATCGAATGAAAAGGTCTCACTATTTCACATTTCAATCTAATTTATATATTTTAACAGTTCATTTGCATTTGATAATACTTTTCATAATCAGATTAGATAGTCCCTACGTATATAAATATTTCCTACTGTGGTTTTCAAAATATAATTGGTGGAATATTCTAATAGTTAACGTATGTAATGAAATCAACATTTGAATACTGTTAATGTTTTAATATAGTTTTGTTTTATCAAAACAGATGACACATTTTAAAGCATTTCCCTTTCATTACTAAAGCGTAAAACTTTGGTTTTCTATGTTGTTTTGTGTACTGTTGTTTGTGTGTTTGTCCTTTTCTTTTATAGCCATGGTATTGTCAGTTTATTTTCGACTGATGGGTTTGGGTGTCCCTTTGGTATCCTTCGCCTTTCTTTTAACATTTTTCAAACGGTTAATTTACAGCAAATGAACATTTTACTGATATTTAATATCATTGCAACATTGCTGAGTACTGTGTTGGTCGTACCTTGGGGATGATACGTCCACCAATAGTGACATCGACCCACTTGTTGTAAAAACTCATAAAAATTACAAGGTTATGATTTGTGACGGCATATGCGTGTTTCGACAATATTAGACTCATCAGTGAGACGGTGTGATTGGAAACCCTTTAATGGCTTCTCAAATTAGAAGACCAAACATTATCAATTTTGAAAAGAAAGAAATTTACCGATTTCAAAATAGCACAATCATGTACTTTTGAAGTGCTTTGCTGAATTTACTTTTATCAGGAACGCCTCAACTAAAAAAATATGAAAACCAAGTGTGTATAAGTACCCGAAAACGTAATGAGTTATATGATTGAAAGGAACATTAAGGATATGTGAAATGCATTTATGGTCACATTTGTTTGTGTTTCAAAATAAATATAAATGTGGTGGTTCTATGTCACCAACGAAATGTCAAAAATATATGTGTTTGTTTAATTTTCTGTATGATGCAATCTTTTCGTTTTAAAACTCGATATGTAGGTAAAGGTCATCTAAAAAAAATTAACGTTTTAGGGTTATGAAGGTACTGTTTCTTTTATTTATTATTTATATTGAGTTTTTTCTTTTTGATGTATTCAGATTCATTTAAAGGTTTCTTGTGTTCTTGAACTGTATTTTTATTGCATAGTTATTAATCTAGAAAATGATTTAAATTTTCTATATTATATATGATTTTAGTCTCCAGCAAATGAATGCAATACGTTAAGCTTTATTCAAATTGTGTAGACATTCAGTTTATATTACTTCAAAATAAAACTATTTGAAAATTTATCATTGTTAATTCTACTTTGAAAATTTAAAATTATTTACAAGTATACGTTTAAAGTTTGGTCATGATATTGCTGTAAATCATCTGGAACGTAATAAATCAATGTGAAACAGACATCATTTGCTGCTTTTAAAAGTCTATTCGAATTAACCTCTATTTGGAAAGTGTGAAACCTTTGATACGGTTTCTAGTACTGCTTCATACATTTTTACAAAAACTGAATGAACTTTGAATAAAAGTTGATGAAAAGTTTTTATATTAAAAAATCACCCATAATGGTAACAAAAGTTGAAAAGTACAAAAATAGAATATTATCCCTAGCCCAAACAGAAAATTATTTAGGCTGTTGCTTTACAATTTTCATCAAACAAAATCCCGAAAAGTTTATTTTACTTATGGGTCATTTTAAAAATGTCATTTTATAGGTTCTAATATTCATAATATCACTGTTTTGTGTGTCGTTATGTTTCTAACTGCATTAAGGCTAAAGATAGCTCAATAGAATTGAGAATGGAAATGGGGAATGTGTCAAAAAGACAACCACCCGACCAAAGATCAGAAAACAGCCGAAGGCCACCAATGGGTCTTCAACACAGCGAGGCTTTAGCTGGCCCGTAAACAAAAATGTGTACTAGTTCAAGGAAACTGGACATCACACTAAACTCCAAAACATATAAATGAACTAAAATAAAAAAACATACAAGACTAACAAAGGCCAGAGGCTTCTGACTTGGGACAGACGCAAAAAAAGCGGCGGGGTTAAACATGTTTTGTGAGATCTCAACCCTCCCCTATACTTCTAGCCAATGAAGAAAAAAACAGACACAGCAATACGCACAGTAAAACTCAGTTTGAAAGATGTCCGAGTCCGATTCAGAATAGGTAACAAAAGAAACCAAGCAAAATGACAATGAAATATAAATGAACAAAGGACTACTAGCAGTTACTGACATGCCACCTCCAGACCTCAATTAAACTGATTGAAAGATTATGTCTTCACCATAAGAAAATCAAGCATATTCCCTCCCGTTACGGGTTTAGTATCATACCATCATAAAATATATGAGAAGAACATAACCCGTATACAGTTTTGATTATTTGCGCATTTGTTTTTTTTTTTATCTAAACAAATATGAAGGAAAAAGAACGGAGCTGTGGTATGAATTTATAAGAGACAATTATCCATCAGAAACTGAATGACGTTCCTACTTCTACAGTAGGATTTTCTTATCCCAGGAATAGACTACATTAGCCGTATTTGGCACAACGTTTAGGAATTTTGGGTCCTCAATGCTCTTCAACTTTGTACTTGTTTGGCTTTATAACTATTTTGATCTGAGCGTCACTGATGAGTCTTATGTAGACGAAACGCACGTTTGGCGTATTAAATTATAATCTTAGTACCTTTGATAACTAATTATAATTTACCTTTTACTCCATTTTTATTTATTTTGGTAGAACAGTCAATCCAGGCAAAGTGTTACAAAGCGTGTTAAAAAATATTTGTTGTGTGTAGATTATCCTTGTTGTAGGTTTTTTAAACCCTTTATAGTTGATTTCGATACGGTTTAAATTTCAGATTCGTACTTACCAAATACCGTTGAATAAATATAGGATGCTTTGCACTTAGGTAAGCGGGTTTATGTTGAATAATTATAGGACATGCTGATTTGAATATTGATTAATCACGTGTATGAAAAATTAAATACCTGCCAGGTATTTTAAGACTGTAGATTTACATATTCACTCTTCCAGAAAAATTTCGGATGAGGTGTAACTATATCAAACTGTTTAAAGTGTCATTGCAAATCAAATGTGTATTTATAAGTCACCTAAATTTGTGAAAAGATGGTTTATGAAAAGCGATTTAATTTAGAAGCTTAAAAAACTTTGATTTTTGTGTAATTTGGACGTATATTGTAAGTATTTTTCAAATACATATTCTAATAAAGATGAAGAGTATTGTTTCCAAACCATGTTTTTTCATGTGATATTTTAACCGTTTTTTAATCTAAAGCTGATGTTGAAAATCTTTAAGTTGAAACTATTCTCCTGGTAGATTTTTTTTAAAGAGTCAGCGAACGCGTACGGTATATTTCAAAAACTTATTTTCAGTAGATAAATATTTCTGATTCCTGTTATAAAAGAAATACGATTTGCAACGACTGAATTTTTATTTCAATATTTTATTATTTTATCATTATTCTATCTTTATTAGCATGGTTGTTACAATCATTGATAGCATTAATACATAATATTTATTAAAAAACTAAATCATTAGTTAATTCATATGGTGTTCTAAAACAATTTGGGTGGATCTTCATGATAACTGTACATGTAAATTGTCGACGAAACAGCAGCTCAACAATAAGACATTTGAACAAAAATGAAAACAAATGAACGCAATATCAAACAATAAAGTTTGTTAAAATGGCCGACTTGTATAAAGGCAGGAAAACAAAAATGTCACCAGAAAAAATACATTTGATAAGAAAAAAGCAAATAATTTAGAAATCATGTTAAATAGAATAATGGAATATATCGCTGTCATACAAACTTCTGATTCCGTCTTCCGGTTTGATTCTACTTTTGGTTTCATCAGCTCTTCAACGTTTTTTAGTTATTGATTTTCAAATACTTTGGCCTTCAGCATCACCGAAGAAACATTTTTTCTCGAAATTGGCGTCCATTGCAATAAAACTGGAACCGTTAATGTTTTTCAATTCGTCAATAAAAAATAAACAAAAAAGATGTTACTTTTAATCAAAATAATTCCCCAAAAAGATTCTAGCTACCAGCTAAAAGTATAATTTAAGCATGTGAGATATTACTTTTTTCATTTAGCTTGTGTACTATTAATAATAATTCATACGCTAACCGTTTTAATAATTGAGCACCTTGTACTAATGATACGCGTTCTGGCATAATTGTTCAGATTTTACATATTCTATGCAGAACCGTATAATATCTTTTATAGAATAACTAATCGAAGAATTCGAAAATAGAAAAAAATTCTACGAGTGATCGAACAACACATTAACTCACGAAAACGCATGAGTTACTTATCAGTGTTGTTAGGTCACGAGTTGAATATTTTTCGATATTTTAATTCTTCGATTAGTTTTTCTTTTTACTGCATTGACCGTGGGCTTTTTAATAGAAATACAGTAGATGGTAAAACGAAGTATTTATATTTTACCCATCCCCTATTCGTTTTGATGCAACGTGATCGACAACATATTGACGACAACCATTATTGTATGACGTTGAAGGAGTGAAAATGCCGGATTTATTTCAGTTGTGAAATTTTCGATTTTAATTTTTATGGGAAATCACGTTATTTCATTACAATCAATGTTACAAATTCTGTGGTGATCAGCGGTAAAATTAAGTGTTTCTTCTTAACTGTATGTAGTACAGTAAACAAGGCAAAATGCAATAAAATATATCAAACGTTTGACTAAGATTAAACAAGTAATCATTTTACAGTTATCAATACGAATTTAAATTTGAAATAGTATTTGACCTTCAAGGGATCTGGATGACAAACGCCTAGTGTAGGACAAACGCCAAGTGTAGCATTTTATCAAAACTTTCACCACTAAATATTACCCCGTTGTTTGTTAAAATTTTGTCGTGTTCTTTCTTTTTTTTTTTGTCATGTTGTTGCTTTTTTTACTTATGTTTTTTAATGTCCCCTTGGTATTTTCATTCGTCTTAAGATAAACCACTGAAATTGTAATACAAGGAACGTGTTTAAATTTTTGTTTAAAAACGGTCGTGTTTCAAACTATATAATATTGAGAATTGACAGTACACGACTAGTAAGGATATTGTTTTTTAAAAGGCATTGTTCAACATAGGATAAAGACAATTAGTTGATTGTACTTCCAATACCAATTGTTCCTGCAAAATCAAATAAACACATGAAATCTTCTTTAATGAAGCATTGCAGTAAGATTAAAGTCTCTCAAAATATGTCATTGTGTAAACCAATAAGTTTGTTTTTGGCGTATTTAAAAAATATGATCTAGCAAATTGATTGTGTTTAATGTTGGAATAATTACTGTTGGAATATTTGCACGAATCAGCATTTATGATAACATTATAAATATTCAAATTTGGTAAGTATGAAAACAACGTGGGATTATTGACATGGTGTGGAAAATATAATACGCTCACTATCAATTATGTTTACATAACATACCATATCCAAAGTTGAATAATTTGTTAGATAATCCATCAACATAAGTAGACGGGTTTAATTGTAAAAATAAACATTGGTTATGTGGGTGATGAAATCTTCACCTACCACAAATTAATAAGGATTAAGCGGATGTAAACTAGTCAATATCTGAATTCAAACGGAAGGGTATACTTCAAAGGTACAGGAATAGAAACCCAATATATCAAAGGAAAATCTCTGTTATTGGTCATCCCTTATAGTGCACGATGACGACGTTATGTCCTTATTTTGGACTACTGTCGCAATAACATTTTCCATAACTCTTTTTTAAAAGGTTTAGAGCAATCACACTAAATGCAAAAAAGTCCCATTAATAATATTCGATGTGCCAGCATTAATTCTCGTATGATCTGTCCGTCGATTTGATATTTATCCTACATTCACGAGCCACAGTCTAGTGATACCCTTTGGAGACTTACAGTGGTTGTACTTGAAAATCAGATAGTAAAATTTAAATAAAAAGTATTAACAAAAATACCGAACTCCTAGGTAAATTCAATAAGAAAAACTGACAAAATTAAACGTCAGACTTTATCAACCAACGGAAGGAATGGAAAAAACTGTCATATTCCCGACTTGGTACAGACATTTTCCCTTGAAAATAGTGGGTTAAACCTGGTTTTAAAGCTAGCTAAATTTCCTACTTGTATGACAGTTGTATATAACAAAAAAAACTCGATAGCTGTTTGCATAAATACCGAGCTATGTCAAAACTCATACGACAAAAAGGAACATAATAGCACACAGACAAAGAAAGGAAAAACTGTAAAGTAAACAAAATATGCACATTTTGAATAAAATCTTTTCTAATCAGATGTTTTCTTAACAAAATTTCTAGTTTTATAAATATTAATAGGTCAATCAAATTAAAAAATACTTACATTTTTTTTAATGTGTATCAGCAAAATAATTGGACAATATTGGATATTTCATTGCTTATTTGAAAGTTCAAATTTTACAAAATTTTTTCGATTCGAATAAAATCAACCTCATTTTTTTTTAAAACTCCAATAATACGTAAATAAATATAGATTCATTAACCTAAAAACATCGTCAGTGGTTATCTTCTGTTATTTCCTAGTTTTTGGTTTGTATGATTTTGGTCTCAACTACGTTTTAACTAGTTAAAAGCACTGAAAAATTAGTTGTAGAACACTTACTAGAGGCCGAGATGAAACGATATTTTACTGGTTTTGTGTACAGTTTAGGTAACCAATACATAGTAGGGACCTTCAAATGTTCAGGCCTTAAGCTGTGATGTAGTTATAATATGTTTGTTTACTATATGACTCTCTGTGAAGCGCACGGACTTGAATGTAGACTAATTTAAAATTTCATTCTTAAGAACGTCCGTGTAGTATTTACGGCATACCACAACCACATTGTTGGCTGCTTTGTCGGCCGGTACAAACACAAACCACTTTGAAAGTTCTTGAAGTTTATTTCTTATTCTGTAAATAGGCGTATTGTGTACTTTTTTATTTATTTCTGATTTTTTTTTCAAAATGTGATATTCGAATATCCACAACATTCATACATTTATTTAAATAAGAATCAAGAGATTTTTTATCAGATTTTTCCCGTTTACACCATTTTTTACAAAACGAGGAAAGCTTTTAACCTGTCTGTCTTGGACGATATTGAGGTCCTCTGTAATAACATGGCCATAGGCATCATATCTAAACTTCGACGATTCACAGTTTCAAGTTAAAGGAGTATTATTTTCTACATTGACGTCTGATGTTACTGACGTATAATTAAAAATTAAACTTCTGCTGGTTTTTTTGTATGTATACGAAATAATAGGTGGCTCTGTGTTATCAAAATAGGGAGGTATACAGTTTTGAATGGTAGAGTCATTAAATATACTCGATAAGTTGATAAAATCAATACCTCTGTTAATATATTTAATTTTCAGAAAGTGCCGTTTATGATCTCTCCGTGTAAAACTGAAATATCTAAATCTAGGAAAGGACAGTTATTAGATTTAGCGTTTACATTTGATTAATATAAAGTTAGTTCATTTAAGTAAATGTCGGCAGTATATTAAGAAAATTCTTGATTCACGGTTATACTATTGTTGTATTTTATTGTGGTTTCATTTTTACAATATTTTATGAAATAATGGTAGCACTTTATAAATTTGGTGCGTCCAAGTTTTTATTCATGATTCACGTATATCAGGAATGCTCAACCCCCAAAAAATGAAAGCCAATGCTGTATGAGAACATGGATACTTGAGGACCTAAATGGCAAAAAAGGACATAAAAAGAATGGAAAGGCAATCTAAGGTTACGTTGGCCGTAGGAGCTGGAACCTCTAATAGTTTACAAATTTATTGACGGAGATTATTTATGGATATATCATAACTTTTTTGTGAGATACTTTCACCTTGTTTGAACATTGGATTTATACTTCGGTTTAATATAAATATTACTCAATACCAAGTATTTTACAGTAAGATTTATGTCGTGTTTAAATATAAATTCTTCCATACAATCCCGTTGATAACGATATTTCTGCACTCGAGACAGTTAAATTTTCAAACTCCATATTTGACTATCGGGAGTATATAAATATTGTAGTAAACGGGGTCAATCGGTTTCTCTTTTGATCTTATGGAAAATGATGAGTGGAGTGCTCCGAATTGATACGGCGAAAAAAAAAAACTCGAGACAAAATTAATAAACTATGATTAATCAAAAATTATAAAACACTTCAAAACTGGTTTCAACGTATTCAGTCAAAATTACATAATTTCATGTCGATTTCAAATGTCTGATATTATTCACCATTTTAGCGAATGAAATATATGGTGTGTGCACGATATGTGTTTTGTTTAATGAAACATTTTCATCAGGTACAAGACACGAGACAAAATGTTTGAAAAACCAAATAATAATAAAAATAATAATTAAAAACCAGTTGTTCAGAGAATAATTAAAAGTCTATTCCAAGGACCTTTTTCCACAGGAATAGATTACCTAGCTTAGCTGTAATTGGCAAAACCTTTTGGAATTTTAATTCGTTAAAGCTCTTCAACTTCTTACTTTATTTGGCATTTTTAATTTTTTTGATTCGAGCGTCACAGATGAGTCTTTTGTAGACGAAACGCGCGTCTGGCGTTTAATAATGTTAACCAATTTTAACGCACCAGTTGCGCATTTCGACAATTAATGTCTCTACAGTGAAGCTCGAGGCCAAAATATTTAAACATCCAAAATCTATTACAAATGTTGAAGAGCGGATCAAACCAAGAAGGACCTGAAGTATAGCCAAATCCGGAGATATATTCCTTAATTTCAAATAATTTCAAATATTTTATAACAGCAAATTTTAATCAAACAATCTGTATTTTCATACTCGGAGTATTTTGACTTATAATATGACAAAAACATATGTTCAGCTTCTGATGAGTAAACAAGCAAATTCCAAAATGTATGTTTTTTAATTTTAGTTCATTTATATGTTCTGGAGTTCAGTGTGACGTCCATTTTCACTGAACTAGTACACATTTTTTGTTTAGGGGCCAGCTGAAGCCAGCCTCCGGGTGCGAGATTTTCTCGCTGTGTTGAAGACCCATTGGTGGCCTTCGGCTGTTTTCTGCTCTTTGGTCGGGTTTTTGTCTCTTTGACACATTCCCCATTTCCATTCTCAATTCTATTAGAACTTGACCTTGACCTTTGACCTTGACTCTAATTTTCTGCTGATGACTGAGGACCTAACATCAAAATACTCTAAGTTTCGATGACTTGGTGTATGAGTTACAATAACATACAAACGTAGCAAAAAAATTACTCTTGTTACATGTAAAAGAGGGACGAAAGATACCAGAGGGACAGTCAAACTCACAGATCGAAAACAAACTGACAACGCCATGGCCAAAAATAAAAAGACAAACAGACAAATAATAGTACAGATGACACAACATAGAAAACTAAAGACTAAGCAACACGAACCCCACCAAAAACTGGGGGTGATCTCAGGTGCTCCGGAAGGGTAAGCAGATCCTGCTCCACATGTAACCGGACCACTTCATTCCTGAGGTAGTAGCGAACATTTGGGAGTAAACATTTAAGTGATATCTTTCACGGTTTCTGAGGAGAAGTGATAACAAGAAAAAAAGTACATTGTATACAGGGATATAACTCCAATATGAAAAACTGTTAAGTTGAACAGAGTGAGATTCAACGGCGCTATAAGAGTTCGATATCATAAACTAAACATCGTATCGACATGATGCGAACCAAAAGCAACATTTCAGAAACGAAGGTTGTTGAAGAAAAAAAATGAAAGCATTTTATAAACTAAATGTTCAGAGGAAACTTTAAGGTCTCTCCACATAAAAATTTCCAACCGGTTAATGATTTAATTTAAAATGAATTTGAATAAAGATATGACATATTTTACTGAATGAAGGAGGAAAAAAGTAACTAACGGTTTAAATGTCATTTAAGGAATAATGAAAAAGCTTAGCTTACAGTTATTGTAAATATATACGGGTTGGTGAATCTTTTTATGAAGTACGGGAGATAATCAGCTACTTTCTATTAAATCAAATGATAGCTTTCTTTACACTGATTAAAAATATGAGGTTTCTATATACTTTTACTCGAGCAGGAGATAACTTGAACCCGATTTTGAAAAGTTACGTCTGGTGTCATATTTCAACTTATTTTACCCCGATTAAAAACATTTTCTGCGGGTGTCATATGATAGCTTACATAAGAATGATTCCAGAAATACATTATGTCTATTCACTTGGCTTGAAATAAGAATATAATTAGATACTTCTTGTATAAAATATTACTTCCGGTATCATGTGATATCTTACATTACATTTAACAAAATATGATAACAAAATATTAACTTTCTATGTTCTTTTGCTTCAGATAGCGACATTATTTTCTACTTCAAGTTTAACCCCAGACTGTATCTACTTGTTAACTGTAAAAAAAATCTGAGGCCATGGATATTGAATCAAAAGACTTCAAGTCTCTAAATTGTATGGTTAGGAAATTATCTTTTTATAATTAAGAGAAAACTCATAAATAAAATCACCCGAGTTTTTTTACCCAAATGTATTGGCATTGCGTTAAGTCATAACTTACAATTAGACTAAAACATTACTGAAATTCAGAAATTATTGCGTGCATTTCTTATTGCTATTTTTCCCGATTGAACAAAAATGTGAGATTAATTATTGCGATTTCAGGAAAAGCTTGATACTGTATGCGATATCAGAATGCGAGTTCTTATTATTGCGATACTCACCTATTCGCATTATTCGCACTAATGAAAACCTCGCAATGATTTCTAAATTTACAGTATCTGATAACGTTGAATCCTTTTAATAACACGTATCGTTACCTTGATTATATTTTTGTTTTACACAATGAAGACATCGCTAGGTATACTGCAGAAATTTATTGAAGGGAACTTGATTTAAATTCTAATATAATCAGCAAATCCTATCCTTTTCTAGATTTGGATATTTCAGTTGAACACGGAAAATTATTTTTCCAAAATTACGAAAAATGTTATGCCCGTGTCTGTGCTGACGTTTGAAATTTGAATGATCGTAATATATGTATGATTGTTAAATTATAAATTAAGGCATTTTGTTACCACAAATTACTTATTATTTTTTTTTATTTTTCACACTTTGTCCGTTGTATATGCACTAATTAAATTTGTAGTCTGGGAAAAATGATTTATTTATCAGTTGCAACTGGCTTTGACATTTCGTCTTTTATACTTTCTATACGATGTGGGTATTACCCGTTGTCGAAGGTCGTATGATTGTGTATTGTTGCTTACATCCAAGTCCTTTGGTCGCTGATTAATAGTTGTGTCATTGGCAATCATAAATCACATATCCTTATATTTGTATATCAGTTGTATGCTATTATTATAAAGTGAATTACGTTGCTTATATTTCAGAGATGCACTGATAAAACAATGACGTAGAACAAGATTGTCATATAAGCATAAAATGGAGAAGAAATTTATGGAAGTTGAGATTCGTAAGAGAAGAAAAATTACATTCTGGAAGCTGTGTACAATTTTCCTGATTATTTCAACTATTCTGTGTTTCATTCTATGTATCTACTATTCCCTTAAAAAAGATAAAGGTATAATACTTAAAAATAAAAATTCTCGCTTTGTCCACTAGACATTTTTACAAGTTTCGACATACAGATAACAAAAATTATTTTCAGTCATTATTACTAAAAATTAAGATTTATTAAACAATTGATGTGCTGATGTTTCCATTGGGTAGAAGCATATACCATTGTCTTTAACGTATCTCACTTGATACAATATGCGAGATCATGTCCTTAGTATTTCAGTTTTCAAATAGAAGTATAATAATTACTAAAGAACGCAGACTATGAGGAAGACTGACTTGAATTATCTCTTAATTGTCGATTCCCTGAGATTTTGCTTGTAAGTGGTAGTCACAATTTCACCATTCTTCCATTGTGAAATCCCCGAATGAGACTAATCACAAATTTTAACTTGCCAGGAACAACACGATGAACGCCAGTGAAGCAGGATTTGCTTGTCCTTTCGGATAATCTGACATCTCCCCGTGGGTGTTTTGTTAATTTTGGTTGCAGTCTTCTGCCTTTTTTTACCTGTAAGCCATGTTCCGCACATTTTTACCTGTTGCAACATATTACTATAATTAATCTGTTTTTTGGTATGGTCCTGACATTGATGCTTGCTACTTGCTATGACATTTGAATCTTACAAAGAGGAGTAATGCTTAACCTGTCGGTACCTCTAATCACACGCTATCTGCTATTAATGCGATGTGAACTACTTTTACAACCTTATCCGTGTGTTCGTACCTGTATTTCTAACCTCGGTTAACTACTTTTATATCTAATATGCAAATTTCAAGTGATCTCAGAATATTTGAGATCAATTAATAAACGTTATTCTTATTCACGATCTCGTTATATTTTTGTTTTCCAAATACTCATCGAAAGAACAATGATAGACATGGTCAGCAGACTCATCAAAGACGAATGTTGTCTTAAACATTATCATGTCGTACTTTAAAATAGCAAATGCTGATGTTTATTTTCTATACCGCTAAAATCATGGAAAATATTTTACCTTCTCCACTATCCCTAATAAACAAAAATATTTATCAAATAAGAAGCCTTGTAGTCCAAAATAAAAATAATGATTTTTTTAGGCCTGACATTAAGACAACTATATAAAAGGAACGGTGAACAATAGCAAGTTTTCAACGTTAGATATTCACTTTAATATGAATTGGTGACGACTTTAAAAGAAGATTTCAAATGATATTAACACACCTTAAAAGTCCTATTTAAAATACAAATGATTTTTTAATCATCTATACCACAATTTGAAAGTTCCGTTACAAGAGATGCCTTTATATTATTTTGTATTGACAAAATCGTCCCCGAAAACCAGTATATACAATGCAAATATGTACAGTATGTTAATAGTCTGGGTTGTTTTTTCAAATTTGTTTTAAAATCAAAGATTTAAAATCAGCACTATCGAAATTTTAAAAAAATCAACAGAGAACTAGTTTTCCATTCATTTGACTCTGAATTTTTCTCCAAAATTTTTGATTTGATGTCGAGTAAATTAATCAGAGTTTTACAAAATTTAGAAATTATTACTGAATTATCCCGCTACCCGATTTATATATTGCTCTAGAAAAATAATGCATATCATACGATATTGTAATGGTTTGTTTTTCTTTTAAATATGTATGTCTTTATATTACAAAATTCACCAGTAAAGTTTTAAGCAATTGTTACAAAAACTATAAGTACTCAAGGGTCACTGACTAAAATAAAAAAAATATGTGACGTTGTCAAAAAGTACATTTGTATCTATCGTATCTACATACATAAATGCACAGTACTGAATACAATAACGTAATATTATCACATTTTTATATAGATCCCATACTTTATATTTCAGAAAATTGTAGTTTGCAAAATATGGGTAAGAAGATCAGTTTAAAGATTAAGTTTCGAGTGACACCAAAGTCGATATTCTATATAATTGTTCAATTAAATTTTGACAATCCATAGAAACAATTTCATAAGAAATATTAAAAACCAATTGTTTAGAGAACAATTGAAGGTCTTTCCACACCAATTTCTAAATACTTGACGAGAAACTACTTCCGGTTTACTGAAAGTTATTATTGGCGTTCAATCATAGATTCCATCATACGGATTCATTAAGTATATGGTTTCTATATTATGTTGTCTGAAATACGGGAGATAATTTGCTACTTTTGGTTAAGAAAATGTTACTTCCGGTCTCATAAAATAGCTTTAGTCACATTGATTCCAAAAATATTGGGTTTCTATAAACTTTTGCCTGAAATAAGGGAGCTAATTGTCAACTTCCAGTTAGAAAATGTCCCTGTTGGTCACATGACAGCTGTATATACACTGGTTCCAAAATTATATGGTTTCTATATACTTTTGCCAGTTATAAGGGAGATAATTAGTTACTTCCGGTTTATCGTAGGTCACTTCCGGTCTCAAATGCCTTTTAATTAATATATGGTTTCTAGGTACTTTTCCATGCAATAAGTGCAAAAATGGCTACTTCCGGTTCACTTAAGATCACTTCCGGATGACATTTTTCAAAGTCATAAGTCATCGAACATTTTGCAGAAGACCCTTTTGCTTTATCATGTACCATGTTGAAGTAATAATCAATTAACCTTAAATCAAAACCTTTCAAGGGCAACAACTTCTACAAGATGTTATTGGATTGTTTCAGAACAATGTATACTATCTTCATCACAGTAAAGCAAACATTTTGCAGTAGTTCTTTAACAAATGTCTTTAAAAAGTGTCAGAGGAGTTCCTAAAACAAGAAAAAGTTAACATTGAGAATATGATCTTGACCTTGACCTTGACCTCAAATTCATTTCTCTGAACCAAGGATCTCAAATCAAAATACATTAGGTTTCTATCACTTATCATTCATGCGATACATTAAGATATCACTTATGTCAATTACAGAAGGGAAATAAATCTCATATGGAGTCTTCGTATCGCTTCGGTCGTTTTGGACAAAACATCCTGAGGATATAACGAGCAATATGGTAATATAAATTTTTCGATTTCTTTTACGGTTGCGAAGGAGTAGACATAACAAGAAAAACAGTGTACGGGGAGATAACTCTCACAGGAGACATTGTACGGTTACACAGGGTAACCTGCGAAAGCGTATTTATTGTTTGATAGCATGTACCAAAATTTTTTCTTCGATATCTTGCGAAACAAAAAAATATCTCAACATCAAAAGATGTGACTCAAATTGGATCGATGACACTGCTGTTGGACGTTTAATCCCACAAACCCAGCAGTTAGTGCTCCTGTGCTGACATGAAACACAATTGAAACGTTCATTTTCTTAAAAATTACCGTAAATTAAACTCTGAAATCATTTCAATCTCTAGCACTAGCCAGAACTGAGCTATAATACCACTGTTATTGACTACTACTGAAATCAAAATACATTAATTTAAAAATACGGGGAAGGAAATCAAAGGGACATCAAACACTATAAGTCAAAGACAAGAAGTCAACACAGCAACTAAGGTTAAAAAAAACGACGAAAAGACACAAAAAACTAAATGTTAAGAAACAAAAACCACACTATAACAAGGGATATAAGCATATACTGCGATAGGGTAGGAAGTTTCTTTTCCTCTACTTGCAATTGTCATGTTTTTCATGGTTATGTGAAAATTCGGTTTAAAGTCAGTGAAAACGTATTCTGATTATGTTTGTAAAGATTGCTTTTTAGAGTGACATCGACAGAAAATTTTGAATATTGATAAATCTATATTATTGAACCGTATTTATATCTCAGAAATAATGACTATATATACGAATGTTACAGATTCACCATGTTCCACCAATCCTTGCTATTACAACATCACATGCGCTGTAGTGGACGATGCTCTCTTCTGTATGTGCCCTGCTGGATACATGGGAACTTATTGTGAAGGTTTTAAACTTAATGTTTGTTAAAGGGGCATTAGCTACGAGATAATAATTCGCTTTTGGCAGCCAATTTGGTTCAATTTGGTCAAAATAAGATAAGAAACATAGAAACATCGCTGATGAATTGTTCACTTGCAAGTGAATAATACGACCTCATTGCATCAGTATTCATATGACCATCGATTTAACCCCTTAACAGGAGATGGGTTAGTAAATCTCAAGCTATTCAAAGGAAAATAATGTCAACATGTCAAGAGAAACAAGGATGAACCATTTGGTTTATTGATTCAATCCACAAAAAATCATTTTTATACAGGTAAAAACGATGATAATCATACGTTTTAACCTACAATCGGAAATAAAACAGACCTAGAAAAATCCAATTGCACGTGGTCGCTATCTGTTTATATTTATATTTATGTTGATATCGGGTTATATGACCATCGGCAATCTTCGGAGGTCATCTCGATGGTTAATTGGATGACGTCTAGACAAAAATACACACGAAATGTTGATAAATATTATCGAGTCCACGCACTGTTTATTGTTTATTTTAGACTGTTTGTAATTTGGATATACGTTTTAGTATGTTATAAATCAAATATGAGAATTTGAGTCAAATCGGTGAACATGCATTTGACAGCTAATGCCCCTTTGAATAAATGTGTTTCTTAAACATTTACTTATATTATATGGCCGGAAGCTAATGCTTGAATAGTGTAACAATGAAATAGCTATGCTGAAGGCAATTGTCTTGAAGTGTATTCTCTTTTTTTGGTCTGATGAAACTAAAAGGTATGATCAGAACTATTGTTGGCCCCTGAAATATATCTAATATGTACCAAGCAATACAAATAGCTCACCACTACTTACGATATATATTATTAACATATTAATATTTAAGCATTTTTCAAACTTTAGAATATTTTAAGCATAACATCGGTATGAGTTGTTTATTTCAAAGTAATTATTGGAGGCGATGAGTTTCTTTAGTTGTTGGGTACAAAACAACATGCAAGCCTTTCCAAATTATGTTAGCTCTTTTTTATTAATAAACAGGTCAATATACTTTGAACACGTTATTGCAGAAAGGTCACTTGTGATGTCATAAATATGTCGACCTTACATAGTTCTTGGACAAGATAGATATGAGCCAAGGCCTTGTCCATAAAGGTATTTTACATGCATTTACATCTTTGTATAAAATATCTTTGAGGAAATATTTTGTTTGGTTAAAGCCCTAGCTCATATCTAATTATTTATATCAAGACCTCAAAATGAGTCAATTTTGGCAGTTTTTGCTGTTTTGCACAAAAATGAAAGGTGTTAAGCCTCAATGCAAATATGTAAGACAAAATTCAAAAATATAAATACTGAAGTCTAACAGACTTATGACTAATGAACATCGAAAGGATGTTATTTGGTAGATTATAATATTGTTTGACTTTCGAGTTCAAAGGGTAGAAAAGGTGGCCTAATCATACCTATTCCTTTAAATATTTTAAGAGTTGAATATGTAATCATTTAGAAAAAAAACCTGTTTACTAATTTAATTGAACGTAGTTTCAGTGATTGACAAGATATCATGAGATTTGCATAGTCTTCTTCATTAAAATAACATAAAGAAGACAATACCAGATATATGTAAACTAACTCTACCGATGTATGTGGGGTAGTATATACCAAAAAACGTCTTTATTGTTTGAACTATTTCAGGGTGGATTAAGGTTAGCTTTCTTTGGTTCAATCTCCGGCGCAGAGTTCATATCCGTTCCGTACATGCTCCGCAATACTACACTTAATATTGATTGTAGTGTTACGTAGTATTGAACGGAACGGATATGATCTCTGCGCCGGAGATTGTCTTTGGTTTACCAATAATGCTTTATTGGCTGTTATAAAAAAAAGTACAATCATAATGATAAAATGGTCAATAAAATAACCTTTTGACACCTATATCATTATTTGATTGGTTTAACTATTGTTACTCCTGGTAATACTATGAAACGAGGGTAATATTGATATTTGTGGTCAAGCTAAAAAACAAATTGACTGAATTGTTCTTTGGGCACACTTAAGTATATATACTATAATACTTTCTGGTGATCACTAATAACTCTTTATAAAAAAGGAAATGTTGGATTCAAAATATATTGGCGATTTATTCCCGGATTGAGTTACAATAAAATCTAAGTGGTAAAATAAAATCTATGGTCTATTAGTACAATATACTATTTACTGTAATGTTCGTTCACCATTTACTTTTTAGAAATACTAAATCGGACTTCCTGCAATATTGACCGAACGAAAATCCATGAAAAATAAAAAACTCAAAACTAAAATAAGAGAAAACAATAAAATACAATATGAAAAAACAAAAAAGTGTAGTAACATGGAATATTACTGTTACAATATAGGATCAAAGTTATAAAAGATAATTAGAACATCATTGCGGATATTTGGAACACAATCCGATTTCAAAAGTGAACAAATATAAATCAAGGCAGATAACTAAAGATTATGCAATGTACTTATCTAATCATGCGATTCACATAATGTTGTGAAAACTATAAAATATAAAGAGGACTGAGTGACTTCTTTTAGAAAAAACATAAATATTACGCGTTTAAACCTGAATTTCGCATGATTATAGCTATAGACTGTTTCTAAATATTTTGACAGTCACCCCATGTTCCAACGGACCATGTTTGAATAATGGTACCTGCACAGTTGCAGGGGAATCTCACCTCTGTGTTTGCTCTGATGAATATGGCGGAACGCGATGTGAAGGTAAGTATATTACTCTTTACATAATATATTGGTACAAGCTTAAAAATGTATATAGGGTAGGGTTTTGAATCAAACCAAGATATGTAAAGCGTATGTTTATTCCCTTGCTGGTATTGAGTTTCTTAAACTCTAAAAGAAATTGTCTTCAAAGTGTGTTGGTCTCGAGCGTACTAGTAACTATTCAAAGTTATCGATGAAACACTTGTCATGTGCATTTGAATTGTTTTCAATGTAGATTAATTACTTTTTCGTGTGAAAAATAATTTTCATAGATTTCGTTGGGAAAGATAAAAGAGGATTTAAATGTTCCACGAAGCAAACATTTTCTATTGGATAGGATACAGACTTTGGCAAAACCACGAAAATACAATTTTTCATCATTCCTCGAGTAGTCAGTACTTCGGTATAACTGTTTATGTTCTTATATATCCTTGGCTCTCAAATATTCGGCTTTGTGCGTTCCTGATGAAGGTAAGTCCAGAAAAGCGCGTCGGACGCATGAAATTTATAACGTGTTGTTTTCATATTTTATATACACGAAGATAAATGAATTCACAGTATCACTGCCGCGACAACACTTCTAGGAGACCCCAAAGACTACAATAAGCAAACAAGACATTGCGTCGATTATTGCTTCTAATTATCATTATAAACAGCATTCATGTGTCGATAAGAAATATCATTATTAAGACCATTTGTGTAGACCAGGTACTATTCGGATTTAAAAAATGGCCCTAAAATGAATTTCTTTTGAAAAATTTCAGAATAAAAAGTTGAATCTACTAGTATACACTTTCATAAACCATTGGGGATTTAGTTTGAAATATTTGCCATTCATTGGTATTAGAGTTAAACAGACAGTAAACTCAGTGATGACGATTTCAGTCGTTCTTCATCACCACTCTGTTGAATTTATCTAGTGTTTATTTCAACTACCAGCACTGGGTTGATAACACTGCTGTTAGACTGGTAATCTTCGAGGGTATCATCAGCTCAGTAGTGCTTCAATACATGTTGGTTTTTTTTAAATAAAATTGATGGTTCCAATTTTACTGCACCAGATTTTCATTTAGACAGTTAGCGTCTCTTCAGTAATATACTCGAGGCGAAATATTTGAAAGACAAAAATCTTATACAAACGTTGAAGAGCTGATAAAACCAAAAGTAAATTCACAGCTGGACAAGGAATGATTGCGAAATTTTATAACAGGAAAATTGAAATCAAACATTATCTGTATTTTCATGCTAGGACCGAAGTGCTGAATACTGGGCTAGTGATTATCTCGGATTTATGTACCATCAGTGATGCTAGATGTCGAAATATTTGAAAATCCAAAACCTTCATAAAACAAAAAGTACTTAAAGCTCATCCAAACTCAGAGTTTTTTGTTTAGGGGCCAGCTGAAGCCCGACTCCGGGTGCGGGATTTTCTCGCTGTGTTGAAGACCCATTGGTGGCCTTGGGCTGGATTTTGCTCTTTGGTCGGGTTGTTGTCTCTTTGACACATTCCACATTACCATTCTCAATTTTATTATCATGTACATCCGTAATCTGACTGATTTGTATTATTAATAATGTACTAGTACGTGTTTCTTACAATGCTCAATTAACAGTGATATTTGAAGTTTATTTGCGTGTGCGGAAGGTTGATAAACGCCCATCTGGACATCAAACAAGGAATTCTTACCAATTGTGTCATAATCATGTATGAGACTCTTTGAATAAGTGTGGATTCACATGGCGGACGATGCAAGAAAAGCAGATGACGCTAAACCTGTCGACCATGCCGGTTTGATCCTTTTGGAGTCAATGCAATTCTCTCATTTTTTGTTGTGTATCTTGTTTCTTACCTTGATTTTCTTTATGAATTTATAAGATTTGAACTTCGGTAAACTATTGTTGGTTATATATCCAAAGGTTATACGATACTAGTATGACATTTTGTTTCAGACAGAAAAATAAAGGACTGCAATGACCTGCCACAAAATAGTAGTAGTAGTGGTGTGTATACACTTTACCTTGAGAATGATATGAAAATATCAGTATTTTGTGAAATGTCTGAAGACAATGGAGGATGGACAGTAAGCATTTTTCTTTATAATGAACATTGATCGAGAAGACCTTTTCTTTACCTGTAGCTCCTTTATACCCAAGCATCTGCCCTTTTTCTTTATAATGAACACTGATCGAGAAGACGTTTTCTTTACCTGTAGCTCCTTTATACACAAGCATCTGCCCTTTTTCTTTATAATGAACATTCTTCGAGAAGACCTTTTCTTTACCTGTAGCTCCTTTATACCCAAGCATCTGCCCTTTTTCTTTATAATGAACACTGATCGAGAGGACCTTTTCTTTACATGTAGCTCCTTTATACCCAAGCATCTGTCCTTTTTCTTTATAATGAACATTCATCGAGAAGACCTTTTCTTTACCTGTAGCTCCTTTATACACAATCATTTGCGCCTTTTTCTTTATTGCAAAGCAAACATAAGGATGAGAAATCAATCAAACCTTCTTTCTTCACTGCTATTATTCCCATTGTAATAAATGCGTTTCTGTCAATTCGAGAAAAAAACAACATTATACTCGACAGTAATGATATATTTAACATTGATCAGAGCCAAAGTAAATATCTGTTCATACCACAGAGTAAGGAAACAGGGAAAAGCATATATCATGTATGTTCGGCAAAGACTGTAATTCACAGTAAGGTTTTGTATACCTTCGAATTTGCACATTACTGTATATATCCTTTTTTCATATAACTCATACCCAAATGCTATATTTCTATATATATAGATATTGTTCATTTAAACACCTAGATATACTGTGCAATTGTGTTTCTATTATCAAAAATCTAGACATAGCACAAACTTTACCGCCTTTTTCGGTATTTCAGACACTATTTACAGTTGTTGATCTGTTTTAATTTATGAGTTTGTGTATGATAAACATTATTTTAGAAGATTGCTTGACAATTGGAAACCCTCAGCTTTTCACTACTACACAATTTGTTGTTTTTTTTATGAAATATCTGTTATAACATTAACGGTACCAATTTTCTCACCAGATACGCGTTTCGACAGTAAATGTCTCTTCAGTGATGCTCGATACCAAACATTTCAAAATTCTAAACTTGTTAAAAATGAAAAGCTTATCAACCAAAAAGGACACAAAAGTATAGCCAAAGCCGGGCAAGGAATCAGAGCTTTGCTCAATTAATCAAGTACGAAGCCCTGTAATACTTCAATGTAAAGTAATTAATTTTGTTTTGATTTTTACAGGTCGTACAAAGAAGATTAAATGGAAAAACGGATTTCTTAAGGTTTTGGGACGACTACAAAAATGGTTTTGGTGACCTTACCGGTGAACATTGGCTAGGTAGTTTATATACTTTTAAGAATATGTAATTCCTATGCTGTTGTTGGACTGTTGGTCCCCGAGGGTATCATCAGCTCAGTAATCATGATTCATAGCAACTATTTTAAAATTTTACGTAATAAATATCATTATTAAGAATCTCAGGTTCTAACTCCCTCGTGCAATTCTAACAACAAATACCATGAAAACAATATCGTCAAAATGCTGGACTTTTCTTTATGTTGCTGAAAATATATTTCTACAAACAGTCGGTATTCCAATTGGTACTAATTATGCTCCACATCTAGTTGATTTGTGTTTGTATTCACGTAAATCAGAAATTCTCATATTCCAAACGTTCTTCGGTTTTACTTTGGAAAAAGCTTCAAGATTTGAAGAACTATTGATAAAGTCTCTATTCTTTTAAATAACGAACATTTCAATGATTGAAAACAACTCATATACTATATATACCAGTGGATCTGAAATTAAGGACCTACCAAATAAAAACGGTCTGCTTCATATTTGGAAATTAGACACACATTTTATGATACATGTACTTGCTCTGTTTGTAGGCAATGACAATCTTCATTGCATCCTGCAACAAAATGCCTACAAAGTTCGATTCGATCTCGAAGCCTTAAATGGAAATACAGCGTATGCAATATATGATAATTTCAATATCAGCAACGAGGAAAAAAACTATAAATTGAGTATATCTGGTTACCATGGAACAGCTGGTAAGATGCATTGTTGTTTTTTTTTTAAACTGAAACTTAATTATTGATTTAAAATATTAAACATTCATTATGTTCATATCGTAAATTAATATTTTTTGCTTAAAGGGGCATTAGCTGTCCAATTTATGTTTATCGATTTGACTCAAATTATCATATGTGATTTATAACATACTAAAACGTATATCCAAATTACAAAAAGTCAAAAATAAACAATTAACAATGCATGGTCTCGATAATATGTATCAGTATTTTGTGTGTATTTTAGTCTCGATGCTATCTAATTAAACATCGAGATGGCTTCCAAAGATTGCCGACGGTCATATAACCCAATTGTATTTTTCTAGGTCTGTTTGATTTCATATTATAGGTTAAACAATAGTTAATCGTCGTTTTTACCTTATAAGAATGACTTTTTGTTGATCGAATCAGTCGACCAAATGGTTTCTCCCTTGTTTCACTTTCAATGTTAACATTCTTTTCCTTTTTAAATAGCTTATAACATACCTAGTGCATGCGTAACCTATCTTTTGATAAGGGGTTAGATTGAAGGTCACGTGAATACGGATTCAATTGTGTTAAATTATTAACTTGCAAGTCAAAAATGCATCAGCGATGTTTTTGAGTTTATTTGACAAATTTGGGGCGAACGACTGCTTATGACAAAATATTATTTCAAAATTCCGCTTGTCTAAATCGTAGCTAATGCCCCTTAAGTATCCAACAGTTTTTGTCAATTGATTGTCGATAACGACACTTAACGGTACAAGGTACAACAATTTTCTGTCAGCTTATTATATGTTGATTCCTCGAGGGAAACATTTTGATATTGGTCGACGTTCTTAAATATATCATACAAACTTCATTACATCTTGCAACAAAATGCCTAAAAATTTCGATTTGATCTCGAAGACTTAAATGAAATATCAGTGGAATATTAATATAAAACAACAACAAAAACATATTTCGAGGCATTAAAAAAAAATATTTTATACATGCAATAATATTAACGTACCATGTGCGCATTTCGACAATTCGTGTATCTTCAGTGATGCTCGAGGCCAAAATATTTGAAAATCCAAAAATGTTTATGAACTTTTCTTTAATATAGAGCATCATTTTTGTAATGTTTTTATTTGCACTTATCCTCTTGCACAGTTTTTTATGTTTCAACAGGTGATTCTATGAAAGATTCCCAAGGTAACACCCACGATAATTTCATGTTTACCACTATCGACAGAGATAACGATATTGCCGGTAGTAATTGTGCTATAACTAAAATGAGCGCTTGGTGGCATGCTAAATGCACTTGGTCAAATATCAACGGACTGTATCTTGATGGTTATAGTGAAATCAATATGCACTGGAATAGCTGGAAAGGAAAATTAGGGCTAAAAACGACCAGAATGATGATTAAGCCGAACTGATATAATTGAAATTCATGAAGGGTGTGGGAGCACTTTGAAAGAAAAATATCAGTGATAAAAATATACCTTTAATTTTGTTCTTTTTTACAAATCATTTTTCTTCAGATTTAAGAGGTAATTTTTACGATGTTTACTTTAATATTAATCTTCGTGATATAAATATAAATAAAAGCGTGGAGTGAAAATATGTTTACGAAAATCAAAGAAGACAATAATTGGAAGAAAAAAATGTTACATGCAAGAGTCAACAATGCCAGACAAAAGATGGCGCGTTATACTATAGGATCAAATATTTCTTGAAGATTTTTTTCTGAAATAAAAATATAATATTTGTCTATATTTTTACTGGTCTTACTTAATAAACATACATAAAAATCAGAGTATTTCCGATGAGTTAAAAATACTGCATATTGACCAATATTGCATTCTAACTGGCATGGTACGCACCATAGTTGTTCAGATAAAAACTATATTTACATCCAAGGTCTTGTAATATAATATGCTGCTCGAAACAAAGTTCCTCATTATATAGTACAATAACCCTATAATATCGTAAAGAGTAACAGAAATTTCGTCACTACAAATGGTCTTCGCCAGTTTCGTTCTTTTTTTTCAAATGAAATGATATTATCTTGCATTGGTGTAGTCCTTTATGTAATCTCTGTGTTAGATTATCGATATAATGCTTTGAAATATTTCTATTGAAACTTTGGAATTTCACAGTACGAACAATATTCAACACTGAAATTATTTAAGGAATGACTATAATATTTTTTTCTGTCTATGAGAAATAACATCAAAAATGTGGTGCACACTTAATAACTCGCGTAGCGTGTTATTTAAAAGTGTGCATCACTTTTTTTAGATTACAGTCATTCCTGATAATTTAGTTCTAAAAAGGAATAAATCATGATAAAAACGTTGATGACGTCACGGTCACATGACAAAATTATGTCTATGAGCTGATAGTCATAACACTTTCAGCCAATCAGAAGACGTGTTACATCCAAAATTAAATTATTTAAAAATCACCTAGTTTTCTAGTGCGCTGAACAAAGAATTAGTCAGATTCAAAATTGGGCTAGATTTCAGAAGAAGTATATACAAGTTCAATCCTTGAAAATTGCAATGTTTAGGCGGACAAGTCGTTAACAAGAATGCAAAACTAAAACGAAAATAACAATGTTAAACAACTGTCTTGTTCAGCAATGTTCACAAATTATATCATTTAGTGTGTTTGTACTGAAGATATTTCCACGTACTTTTCTATTTATGTTTTTTTTTTTTTGTGTGTACTGTGTCTATATACATGTATGTTATAGTCAATGGGAAGATCTAATTTTAACATGCTGGCCTAATTTGATGTCTGTAAACAATTGACCACTCATGTTGCAAAGCACAATCGCTACTACTTCTGCTGAAAACCTGTCACAATGAAGCCTTTGGGCGATCGCTTATTGAAATATTGAAAAAAAAAATCCAAAGATACTTGACAGACCGAAAACCGAGTTTTGTATATAATAATTGTTTTATGTTTGTTGTTTTGTACATATATCAAGCCGTTGTTTTTCTCGTTAAAATTGTTTTTCATTTTGTCATGACACAGGGGTGCGTATCATAGATGTTTGGGGGTGGAAATATATGCCAGTCGACTGGTATGCGTTATACATTGTGTTAATAGCGAATAACACAATGTATAACGCATACCAGTCGACTGTCATATATTTCCGCCCCAAAACATCTATGATACGCGCCCCTGTGGTCATGTCGGGCCTTTTATAGCTTTCTATATGGTATAGGTTTCGCTCATTGTTGAATGCCGTACAGTGATCTATAGTTGCTAACATCTACGTCATTTGGTCTCTGGTGGATTGTTGTCTCATTGGCAATCGTACCGCATCTCCTTATTTTATATCATTTATCAATGCTCTTAAAATAATTGAAAGATGTTTTTCAGTATAGTTAGCAGAGATCATGGTCATCATACTTGGTTGAAATATACCAAAATATTATAACAACGACAACCACTGACGAGGTTCCTGGCTTCGTACAAGCACATAATCATATGACCAGGTTTTATGGATGGTCATATCGGTGTTTAATTTACTCAGAAACAATTCGAGTCACACAAATATTAGTCAGACAAAAGTATTTCAATACCAATATAGCGCTAAATAGCCACAAAATGCCTAGAAAAAAAACGAAAGTATCCGATCTTTTGCTAAAGGACGTAATAATGATAAATATTTGGTAATCAGAAACAAAATACTTTAAGGCCTACATATCAAATCAAATCCTAAGATGTAACAAAGGAATCTAATAGAATAAGAATGAAAAAGTAACACATAAAAACGCAAAAAAAAAAAATCCAAATTCAATGTCAATAGCATACACGATATTTACTGAAGGTTATTGAAACAAAGTAAAAAGGAAACTGGTCTGTCTTAGTTACCGTATATAATCTATTGATATTAAACTCGTTACGCCAACATTTCAGTAATTGAATTCCGTAACAGGTTTAATTTCTCGAGAATAATTTCGTATCCTTGGAAATACAATGTTCATATTGTTTTCCTACTGCATCCAATATATCAATGACACTCTGTGAAGTTGTGAAAGAATAAATTTTTGTAAGAGAATGATAGGCTAAACAGAGGAAGAACTACTGAAACGACGCTATATCAGTTTCACGGTCATCATTGCGATTTGGTTAACGGATATGATATGTCGGTGTCTCAACTTACAGGCGACATGTCTTAAGACACTAGTATATAGATTCGCATGGCGTGGGATACATGCATAGCAGGAGACGCTTACTCTGTCGTAGCTCCCTATCTTGCTCCTTTAAGGGTTTATACGATTCCCTCAGTTTTGTTTGTTACCTTAATTTGTCGCTTCTTAATCGATTTGCGAGATTTGAACATCGATGAACTACTGTCACTTTAATTCAATGAACGTATACATACTCATGAGTCGATAAGTCTAATTCGGTAGGTCACATTCGAAGAAACGAAAACGGGATTATTGTTACGACAATTGGAACATATCCGTCCTCACCTGTGAAACAGATATTCCATAACGGTGAACCAACTTGTGATGGCGCCCGTAACATTTTCTAACCATACTTTTACTTCTTGATATTTTGTCCTATCGCTTTGTAACATGATATGTATTTAATTCGATTTTTTAGTTCCGTAGTATTCCATCTTCCATACAATTTGTTCACAAGCAAGGAGGATGCATTCGATTCTTATTCTGCATTCCGTGTATCTTTTCTTTTTCATCGTGCAGACAACGGCCTTCATCAATCTTTGTCAAAGATTTGATGTCAGGCATGTTATTTCTAAAAGTAACTTCCATCAGTTTTCCGACGTTCATAATTTTAATGTGTCCTTGTGCAGGTTCATTTTGTTTCATGAAAACCTTGCTCTCGGGATGTATCTTACTTCAATTATCATACACAACATCCTCATATCCTTCCATCATTGAAAACTGTGCAGTAGATGAAAACGCAGAAATAAAACGAGGTTCTGCTGGCATAAGTTTTTGTGAATTGATCAAGTCATTCACATCCTTTCTCGTTAGTTTAAACGTTTTCCTGATTATGAGCACCGTGTGAACTTTATTGCTTAATGATTCAAAATTTAGTCTCTGTCTTCGGCTACGTGTTTTTATTTTGTAACGTATCATCAGCGTTATAATGAATACTTAGATTTTCAGCTGGGGCATATTTTTCTATCATTCGTATCAAATTTGTAGGCATCTGGGAAGATATCTTTTATAATATCATAGCTTCAGTTTTTACTTTAACGATACATTAACATATACTGTAGATTAGTATACATGGTAAAGTAAATCAGTTAATGATTTTTTTATAAATATTTGTACGCATGAAATTTATAAAGTGCTGTTTTTATTTTGTACACCACTGGGTCGATACCGCTGCTGGTAGACTATCAGTCCCCGATGGTATCATCAGCTCAAAAGTCATTACTTCGGTACTGACATGTATAACAAACCTTTCTTAAATATTCTTGTTTGGCTACCATTTTTGGTCTATTCGTTTGGTCGTATAGCTCTTCAACGGTTTCGGTTCTTATACATCCTTGGCTTTCAAATATTCGGCTTTCAGCGTTCCTGGATATTGAATTCCCGTAAAGTTCTTCGGACGCATGAAATTTATAGTGTTGTTTTTACTTTTTATTTGTTCTGTATACTTAAATAAACAATTATCTATGCAGCTTTTAAATTTAAGAAAATATATTTTGATATTTGAACAATCGAATATCTAAGTCTTATAAAATCTACACACACAATGATCTGTAGTTTTTCTTGGTATTTCAAGGGTCAGTGTCAAATTAAATATTAGTAAATTCTACCAACAAATATTTACCAAGTGATCATTATGTCAAAAAGTGATTTAAAATAAATATTGAAGCATAAAATGATTAAAATATCGTGAGAGGTATACTTATATATATATGGGTAGACTTCCTGTTTGGTTAAACGATACCAACTTTACTATATTCCTGACCTTTATATGAACTCAGTCCCATTGTTGTAAGCAAAGTGTAACATACGGAGGGGAATCGTGATATTAGTTTAAACGGGAGGGTTGAGATTTTCGTTGAACTGAATTTAGTTTAAGCCCGCTACATGTTCATGTGCTTGTCCAAATTCAGGAACGTCGGATTTCTTTGCTATATCTCAATGTTTCTGTTTTGGGGTAATTTGGCTTTGTTGCCAGATCTCTGTTAGTCTCAGCTCACAACTTTTTACTCCTGCTGATTGTCGCTTTTATCATTGTTATATTATAGTTCGTTTCTGTGTGTGTTACATTTTGATGTTGTGTTTCTGTTGTTTCATAGTTCTCCTCTTATATGTGTTTCCCTCAGTTTTAGTTTGTAACCCGGGTTTGTTTTTTTCTCAATCGATTTATGAATTTCGAACAGCGGTATACTACTGTTGCCTTTATTTATCGAATTAATTTTCTTTTCTTTCTCTTTGAAAGTATATATTTTGTTTTCATCAGAAATACTGAAAACGATGACCTTATCTACCAGAGAAGCACTCTCTTATTTCACCTTATGTCTTCCTTTGAGATATAAGAAGGATTTTCATGGATTATGAAGACAAAAATTTCATCATTGCTGTACTTTTACTAAATTTAAACCTGAATTTCTTTTCCATAGAAGTGATGGGTTTTTTCGTTAAACCATCTGCAGAACCAATAAAACTTACATGTTAACATTGTGGCAAAACAGAGGCGAACACAATACTTAAAAATGGGAAAACAAGGTGAAGGTATGCTTATAAATATGTTATGAAAATTCACAATTGTTCTG